TGACAGGCATATGAGGGATGTTAATCCCTTCCTGAGCCATAGGAACTCTTGCAGTGGGGTGTAAGACCCTTAAAGCTATGGAGCCATTTAATTGCATGCCACCATATTTGCAGTCTGAAACAGCACTATCCACATAAAACGTTATGATATGACCAATCCTACATATTGTAGTTATTTTCTTGATATCTTCAAGGCTGCCTTCCAAATCAGCTAGTCAGCTAACCAACTTTGGGACATAATTAGAGGTGGTATTCAGCAGGTCCTGACCAGTTCTGGAGAACCGGTAATGGAAATTTTGAGTAGTTTGGAGAACTGGCAAATACCACCTCCGACTGGGCCTGTCCCCATCTATTCTCTGCCTCCCGAGTCTTAGCTGATTGGCTGGGTCTTCTTTTGTTGCCCTGCACAGGAGAACGGAGCTGGAAAGCAAGTCAGTGAAGTGGAGAGGGAATGGGATTCTGCAGTATCCTTCCTCTACCACACCCACCAAGCCATGCCCATCAAGCCACACCATGCCCACCAAGCCACGCCACAGAACCGGTAGTAAAAAATATTGACTCCCACCACTGGACATAATATATGATGAATGCATACTCTTCAAGCGAGTCTTTTTATTCACTTTGTATCAGAGGGCTGTGCATCTTAAAACACATCCAGCTCTGGATTTCAAGAGAAACTCTTGACAAAACATCTTCCCACAATCTTTTGTATCCCATTTCTACCAGTCTGCTAGGCAGAGCAACACATTTTCTAATGCATGAAAGATGAAAATACTATTCAGAGAAATTATCTAACAGGCTTAGGCGCCCAACTGAACAGCTTTATAGCTCACTGTTATGTCCCATGTCCCCCCTCTGGGTTGTCATTCAATCTCCTGTGTGTGATATTTTCCTGAGTAATTTTTCAGGGAAAGGTTCAGGCACCCAACCTATATAGCCTAGTGGTTACCCAAAGTAGCAATAACTTTTTCTCCTTCTTTTGGGAAAAAAAAACCACCACAATTTCCCAGAATTCTGAGAGTTTTGTCCCCTCAAATATATCTATAAATCAGAAAGAAATCTTCAATCTGCAATATACAAACTGTGTCTGATCAAATTATAGATGTATTTTATGAAAGGATTTCCCCCTTCTCATATACATGACATAATTCAGTGTTAATAGAGTGGTTTGAAACTTAAAGAAATACAGGTTTCTTTGGGAAACTATAATTTTTGTGATTCCTTGATTAGTTTCTTTCAACAGGATTGGTCCCTGTTGAACAAGAAGTTTCTTCTATCACAAGCTGTAACAATGACCCCTATTAAATCATCAAAATCTTTCTAGATTTTATAGAGCAGCACTTGACAGTATGAAATGAATGATTACAATATAATTCTAAGAAATTTCATTGTGTCATAAGGTTGCAGTCTACCAGAAGTAATATCATGTTACTCTGCAAATTATAATGAGAATTAAATGGAGGCTTAACTCTTGCCAATTAACCTATATCCTTATCTTATAATTATGTTACCTTTCAATGGGTCAATATATTTGTATTGACTGATTTGAGATGAAATTTGAAGCCAATTCAAATCATATGGGAGAAAAGATATTAATTCCTTACTAACAAAGACTTTCAAAGATACTTACTCCAAAATACAGGTATCAGTCACAAACTCAAAAAGATTTTTAACGTAATATATCTTTTATTATTAAAAACCATTCATGAAAGAAGAGATAATAATTTGAGCAACGACAATCCATATTATTCTTACATTTTAAAACAGAATAATCTCTCCGTGAACTACAAGTGTTTTCACTGTTCTTTACAGTAAAATACTAATGCAGTGATTAAATAAAGAAGAATATTTGTAGTTCAGGGTTGAAATGAGGGCTCCTTGCTGCTTTCAGAGCTTGGTTGTTCTCTTGCAGACGTTTCATTACCCAAGTTACAACCAAGCTCACAGAGCACCAAGGGCAGTGATTAAAACAAGGTACAGTGTCATTTAACTCATTTCACATGCTAACCTGATTCCTTTCTGTTTCATGTACCTCTGTTGTATGCCTGGGTTACTCTTCTAATTTCTCAGCCGAAGTGGTGTATCACAGCATAAGTGGGAGCATTCAGTTTTTTGTACAGCTTTTCTTCCAGATGTTTCATGATTTTTTTTTGTCTTTCATCTTTCTTCTTCCCAAGTTTTTTTTTTAAAAATTGTACTTGGAAAAGCCCATTTTCAGCACTATATAACCAGTCTTCAAAGGAACATGAGTATCAGAAAAGTGGGAAACTTTCCAGGAACATTGGAGAATAGAAATGAGATAACTAGGCAAATAAGGCTAATATTTCTTCAAAAGAGTTGAGAGTAGGAGTTAATAGGAAAACGTCTGGGTATTTTGGCTGAGGACGAGCTGTCTCCATACACTTCAGTTATTCATGCACCTCTGTTTTGTCCCAAGTATGAGAGAAAGAAGTTTGCCTTTTTCTGAAGAAAACTGAAAAACAACAACAAAAAGTTAAGTTTTGAAGTCATTTGGGACAATCTTGTAGTTATTTTCATGCCATATTTTTACTAAATTAGAATAATGTATTTTGTTTTAATATATAAATGTTTGTTATTATATATGCCAATCAAGTTGGTATAATTGTTCAACATGTGCTGTCTTTGATTCATGAAGTTCCAGGGTTTAAAAAGACCTGAGGAGGATCTACTGCTTAGATCTCAGCGTTAAGATAGGCTCCTCCATTAAGGTTAAGACATCATTTGATAAAATGGTACGGATAGTCAGAAAAGCTACTGTTGTCAAGGGTAATATTGCCATTTTGCAGTACCTCCTTCAAAGACAATTGTTCCATGAACAGCCATCTTTTGGGGATGCTGCAATAATTGGCTCTTGTAGTGGTCAAGGAGATGGATGAGATGTTTTCCTAGGTTTCTTTCCCTTATGTTATATGGTTCCATATAATGCCATTATATCTCCAACTTCCTTTTTTGTGTGAAAAGATATGCAGCGTTAAATGTTAAAGATGTTAAGACTTTAATAAATATTAATGATAGAATTGAACTGGAATGGAATGAGGGTTTTAATTACATATATTTATAATCCTTTTTCTTAAAGAATATAGTGTGTATTATAAGAATATACCAAGCAGAATTCGATTGGATGTATTATGTATTATATTGAATGTCATAACCTTAGGGTATATATAGAAGTTTAAACAAGAGTTGAATGGATAAAATTAAAAGATATAAAGGTGTCATACTCCAATTAGTAACTACAGGAGAAAATTTGTTTAATGAGTAAAGATAATATGAAATTGAAGCAGAACAGACAAAAGTATAAATATAATGATTTGAACTGAGATGAGATAATCAAAATAAAATTGAGAAAATTAAAAGAGGGGAAAATCTATATAGAAAATGTAGAACAGTATAGGATATGGAACAGAACACAAAAATGAGCATGAAGTTGAGTTTGTGTCTGTATAAAGAAGTGCAACCCGGGACCATGCTATTTTCAAAAAAGATGTTTTACTTGTGTGTGAAAACCCAAATAAAAATTTAATGATTAAAAAAAAGAATAAAAGGGAGGGAAGTTTGTATCATTTTACACTGTACATTTGAGTTGAGTAGAAATTCAACTGTAAACATGTTTCTCCAAAATTATTTCAATGAAACTTATATCCAGGAATGTGTAGAATTATGTACTTAAATTTCTTTAACAATGAATCTCTCTTTAAATTAGTTGGGATTACTAAATTACTTTTTATTCTAATGGAAATTACTAACATTTCTCATTTTGGCCAAGTGGAGTTATTAGATATCCAAGGATGATATATAACCATAAGAAATTAGCACATTACTTTCATATTTTGACCATGAGTAAAGGTGGTAGGAATGAAGGAGAATGTTTTTAGTACAGAATATCTGCTATTTTAAGCACAGTTCCATTTGAACTGTGTCCAAGCAATATTATTTTGTTTGTCAGAAGCCGATTGGGAAGGTTGCAAATAGCAATCACATTTCCCTCAAATGCAGCAACCACTGTAAATGTGAGCTGGCTGCAAGCCTCCAAACCATGATCATGTGACACAGTGACAATTATAAGTGGTCTGGTAAGACCGGCCATAGGTCACTTTTTTCAGCACCATCGTAACATAGAACAGTTGCTAAATGAATGGTCATAAGTCTAGGACTCCTTTGGATGGTATAGCCACTTCAATATCCCCCCTGCTTCTTGTCGTGGTATCTAAAGCTTAATCATGATGGTGCCATCTAAATGTATTGATTTTGGTCAGGACATTCAAGAACTGACTTCCTATGCTTCTTGTTTAGTCATTCGGGAAATGGGACTCTCTTCCATCTATTGTTCCAATGGTTATATCAGGTGTCTTCAAACTTGACAGCTTTAAGACTTGTGGAATTCAACTCCCAGAATTCCTCCTCCAGTCATGTTAGCTCAGGAATTCTGGGAGTTGAAGTCCACAAGTCTTAAAATTGCCAAGTTTCAAGACCCTTGGATTATATTAATCAGTGTGAAAAAGTTGGAGGAGCACATAGCCAAATGCACCATTAGGAAGTAAGAGTAACGGTGATGATAGAAGTGCAAAGTTTAGCTGCTTATGCATGAAAGGGGAAATGGTTTCAGTAGTCTTGTCTGCATTATGTTCTCAGCACACAGTTCCTTTCAGATGTAAGTAAAGTCTCTCTTGAGATGAACTCAGCTTCTGGGGACAGCCTAATGTTTTTGGTTGGCGTCAATCCACCCCTCCCAGATTTGACAGTTTCTTGTAATAAACGATCATATTTAATTAGCTTGGTGGATTCTTACTCCCAACCACAATGATATTTTCATGTGTTGACTTGTAGTGCCAACCGGCTCACTAATGTCGGGATCTTGCTGTTGGCTGAGTTTGGTTTTCTTCTGACAAACATTTCATTACTGAAGTAGGTTACTAAGATCCCAGTATTTCCACCCTGAGCTATTCTTCATTGCTGAACTCACTGTTGTTCCTTTTGCAGGCCTGGCTCGGAGACCAGACGTCACAATGGCAGAGAGAGAATGACCAGCACCAATGAAAGGGGAAACCTGTCTATGGAGTCTACCAAGGAGACCCGCTATTGTGCTGTTTGCAATGATTATGCTTCTGGCTACCATTATGGGGTTTGGTCCTGCGAGGGCTGCAAAGCCTTTTTTAAAAGGAGCATTCAAGGTAATAGAACACAAACACACCTGGCATGTAACTATCTTGCTCAATGCTCATTCTCATCAACCAATGAGAGTGTTGTTTATTACTGAACAGATTGAAACTGTGGATCGGTATATCGCTCATAAAAATCAAACTTTTAGAATAAAGAAATAAAATAAATAGTTCACACACCATATTGAAAAGGCATCTTTAGTTCCCCTTTAACATATGAAGTGTGAATAGATTGAAGTGTGTAAGCATGAATTGGAAATTAAAATTAAAGATTACTCTAGCCTGTTATCTGTATTGAAGTATTTTGTAAATGACTCAGATTTGTAAATAACAAATCTAACCCCCAATACCCATTTTGCTTGTTTCTTCAATACTTGCCTGCGGTTGTGTGTTGTTGCAGTTACTATAACAATAGTAGACAAAATAAATACAGGACTCCCTAGAGAAGCTTTCCATGATTGTCATAGTATAGATTCTCCTGCTTGAGCAGGGGGTTGGGCTAGAAGATCTCCATAGTTCCTTCCAGCTCTATTCTGATTGATTCCCTAAAATATGACACACCTACAAATCCCAACTCCAACTCAAAACTGGGAAAGGCTTCCAAGAAGTCCACAAACTGTTTGCTGAAATGAAGCGATTGCTTATGAAGTACTCATAGAATAACAGAGTTGGAAGGGACCTTGGAGGTCTTCTAGTCCAATCCCCCTGCTTAGGCAGGAAACCCTACATCCTAATTCTCCTTCTTTAAAATCCAACCTTTGATTTTGTGAAGTGTTCAGGGAAAACAAGATTTCCTGCATGAGTTTGATCTTTGTAGGTATAGAGATATTCTGGCATCTGAATATTACTTCCAGGTCCTTGTTGGGTACTCCCCAAGTGCTAGCCTGAGGTAGGTAGGTAGAGAGGTAGTAGGTAGGTACAGTGGTGGGATTAAAAATTTTTTACTACTGGTTCTGTGGGCGTGGCTTGGTGGGCATGGCAGGAGAAGGATACTCTGCAATCTCCAGTCAGAGGCGGTATTTGCCGGTTCTCTGAACTACTCAAAATTTCCTCTACCAGTTCTCCAGTACTGGTCAGAACCTGCTGAATACCACCTCTGGACTATTTATTGATTTATTTAGGAAAATTTATATGGTTGCCCAACTCACTCTTAATGATGCCAGGTGGCTTACAAAGATAAAAACCCAATATAAAAACAATAAAAAAGGAATAACAACCCCCACATGCTCCAGCAACAACAATCAAATGAACCATTTGGTGGGATCATATTTATGTATCACAATTATCATATTTAATCCAGTTTTATAATTAGAACATATTTAGCTTTTTTCTTTAACTACATAATCTCCATCTTTTTTTCTGATAAATTATACTTTAGAAAAATTACCATAAAGATAATTAAAGGATCGCCTCTTTTCCTATATAATGAAATTATAATAGCCAGTCTTGGCAGAGCAATTAATACATAAGAAGAGAAATGAGCACCAGATCCCACCTATTCAAATAGCTGTGCATAACTTCTTATGTGTTGATATCTAAATCAGGGACTTTTCCTGGTGTAAAATTGCTTAGCTCTGTTTTTAATGTTTGAACATGACCAGAACCAAATACACATGCAAACTCAGAATTCCCTACTCATCAAATGTAATATTTGAGATAAAAAAGCCCCTGTACTGAAAGTATAAACATTTATAAAAGTTTCTAAATATTGTTACTGAACATGAGTCCACTCAGAACCTTTTAAAAGTAGGGATAATTTGTTCCAGGTTTCATGCATGGAGGAGGTGTTATCCAAAGAATAATTTAGTAGTTGAAATAGTCAGATGGATCAGCATTTTTTAATTATGACAATTAAAATATAATAGCAAAAGTAATTTCAGTATCATGGGTTTTCCCCACAACTGAACTTTCTTCAAAGGATAAGACACTGGAGAAAAAAAAAATCATTGATACTGGTGAGAAGAAAGAAGGGAGGAAGGAAACTCTTAAAATGAATGCTGTGATCTGGAATCCCTCAATGGTTTTTTAAAAGTTGGATTCATTTGAAAAATATTTATACCTATATAGCAGTCAAAGAGCGCCCAATATTGAGCCAATTGTACATATTCTTCAGAGTCAGATTTAGAAATCTTCTAAGTCTAAAGCTGACTGAACTAAATCTGGGGTATCCAGTTATTCGTAGTTTTCATTCAATAAATTGTGTCCATAGGAATTGATATGAAATTATCATCATTTATCAGAATGATGTTAGCAATAGGAGCAACTAAAATAATGAAAACAAAGTAAAATGCTTGGGGGAAAATGTTTGCAGTCTCAGTGGATTCACTTCAAGTTTCAGATAGCAAATCCAATTTCATTCCTCAGCATCTCAAGGAAGGGATAGAAAGAATTCTTCCAAAAAAACAACAACAATGTTTGTAGTCACAATTACTACTTAGACTGGGTGGATCAATTGGTCTGACCTACTACAGGTAGCCCTCGACTTAAAAGCACAATTGAGCCCCAAATTTCTGTAGCTAAGGGAAACATTTGTTAAGTAAGCTAATTGATTGGAAAATTCTTAGTCCTAATGGTAGTGAGGCAGAATGTTTGAAAATACTAGATTCCTATGCTAAAATACAAGTAGTCCTCAATTTACGAAAGTTCATTTAGTGACCAAAGTTACAACAGCGCTGGAAAAAGTGACTTATGACCATTGCAGCATCCCCATGGTCACGTGATCAAAAGTCAGACCCTTGGCAATTCTCCTATTTATGAGTGTCTGGGGTCACGTGATCACCTTTTGCAACCGTCTGACAGACAAGATCCATGAGGAATCCAGATTCCCTTAACAACCATCATGCTATCTTAACTACTGTGGCACGAAAGGCCATAAAATGGGGCAAATCCACTTATATATCTCACTTAGCAGCTAAAATGTTGGGCTCTATTGTGGTCGAAAGTTGAGGACTATCTGTATTACCAGCTTGATGGTGGGTTGCCATTTCCCCCCCCCCCTTTCTTGGCCTTCTCTAAGCATCCTGGGCAGACTTTCAGTATGAATGGAAACTGAAAGCTTTAAAGTCTTTAAGGCAGAAACAAAGAACATATATGGAAGAAAAAGTAAATCCATGAAAGAATAAAAACATACATTTCTCTTCCTCTTACTAGCCCAACTACCGTTTCTTGATTTGGGGATGAACAAATCGTTGCCAACACCACATTCAGTCCTGCCTTTCTGTGATTAATAACTTTAGGTTCCTACTTACATCCCATTGCTCAGTCCTTTTCCCTTTTTCACGAAAAGCTTCCTGCAGTTGAATCTATTACCGTCCACTGTCTTCTTAAAGTGAAGCTTCTCATGTAGTGAACTGTAGTTACAGAGATATTCTTTTTTTTTTTGGAAGTACAATTCCTTATGTTGTAGTCCACCCCTCCGCTACAATAATTTCACTGCTGCTTTTAAGATTTTCTGTTTCATCCAAAAGCTTTTCTCAATTGCCACTAAGGGGTGCCATGTGTATTCTTAATATAGTTTCATGTCAGTACATGTTGCTCTTTATTGATTTTCTGCATCAACATGTAGAGAGCGATCTCAAGATAAGAGAATGTGGGATAAGTGAAAATTGCAATCCTGTTTATGTGCGACATTTACTTTATATATAATTATCCTTTCCCTCACAAATGTTGAGGTTCTTGGACTAATAGAATAGTTGTGAATTCAGTAGACCCTGCAGTAGACACCTGATTATTACATCGAACATGTAAACAAGCTAAATACACTACTAACATGGGCAGCATCCTGCCCATACCCTTTTATCTTTCTTGGTGATTTCCATCTGCCTCATATTGACTGGACCCTAAATGAATGTACAACTGAAACCATACACGCAACCTTCTACAATGCTGTTACAAATCTGGGACTGGAACAACTAGTAACCAACAACAGTAGACTAAAAACTGCCTCGATGTCATCTTCTGCAATAGTTTGAATTTAATTTACGGAATACAAACTAAAGAACCCTTTTCCAGCAGTGACCACAATATGATTGACTTTTGTCTCAACATACGTCCACACAAAAACCACCACAATGACGTAATCCCCAATTATAACTTCAAAAAAGGCAACTATGATCTTATAGACAACGATCTCTCATCCCTTGATTGGCAATCTCTATTCACTGGATGCAATACTGTTGAAGACCATTACAACATATTTTTACTTGAAGTCAAAAGAGTCATCAAACTATATGTACCAACAACAACTCCCAAAACAAAACAAAAAAACAGATTGCCCATAACAATAAGGAAACTTCAATCCAAAAAGAGATCACTCTGGCGGAAAAACAAATCTGGTCACATTGCCAATTTCAAAAGCCGATACAAAAATTTATGCCACCAGATAAAGACCGAATGCACCAATTATCATATTAAACAAGAGGAAAACCTTCTAAGCACCAATTCTACCAGTGCTTTTTACAATTTTGTAAACAACAAACTAAAAGATTCAAGGTCCATCCCACCCCTGATAGGACCTAATGGTAAAGACTGCAACGACGACACCATTAAAGCCAACATCTTTAACACATTTTTTGGCTCAGTATTTGTAAACAGCAATGGATCATGCCCAGTATTTCCTAGCTGAACCACAGATAACTACAATGATCTAATACATATCGATTTTACAGAAGACAATGTTGAAAAAGCACTTTGCAATCTAAAACCATCTCTATCTATTGGACCGGATGGATTATGTGCCTACTTCTTAAAAAAGCTACCCACTGCCATAGCCAAACCTCTAAGCATAATCTTTGAAAAATCTTTCAGGACCAGTTCCTTGCCTAACCTATGGTCACAAGCCACGGTCATCCCCATCTTCAAAAAGGGAGACCCTAGCCTAGTTGAAAATTACAGACCAATCTCCTTATGCTGCATCACCTGTAAAGTCATGGAATCAATTATTAACCAATCCATCATCCTCCACTTAGAGACAAACAACCTACTCTCCAATAAACAATTTGGTTTCAGAAAAA